TAAGTGGGTGAGGGGAGACATCGGTCAGTATAAGACATGAAAAATAATAACAATTTATAAATGATCAAGGGTTCATGAGGGAGAGTGGTGGGGGAGGGGAAAATGAGGAGTTGATACTAAGGGCTTAAGTAGAAAGAAAATGTTTTGAAAATGATGATAGCAACAAATATACAAATGTGCTTGACACAATGTATGTATATATGTATGTATTGTGATAAGAGCTGTATGAGCCCCCAATAAAATGATTTTTTTAAAAAGAAATAGTATATATTATTCAATGCTAAAAATAGCATTTCAAGACCTATACTGAAGTAAAATATTGACAATGATAGGATAATATCCATATGCTTATAGGGATAGCCCCCACATGTCTGTCAAGTTTGTCTTACTGTGATGGCTTGCATGTTGCATTTTACCAGAAATTATGCCACTGAGATTGCAAATACTAGCAGGGTCAACCACAGAACAGGTTTCACTGAAGCTCCCCAAGTAAGAAAAGAATGGCTAAGCTGGTGGTTAGCCATTAAGAACATGAAGAGTCACAGAGGAACATCGCTTGATGTACTGCCTGAAGAAGAGTTCTCCAGGGGACAGTGCACTCAGAATAAGACTGGGGATGAACCGCCACCTCAAGGAGGAGTTGATCTTAATAATGCGGACAAGGAAAAAAAAATTGAGATCTTCATTTGATGATGGAGAATGACTCAAAGTGAAAAGAGTTGCAAACATCCGCTAATAATTGGAATGTGGAATGTACAAAGTATGAAACCAAGAAAATTGAAATTCTTCAAAAAGTAAATAGAATGTATAAAGATTGATATCATAGACTTTAGTCAGCTGAAATGGAATGGCATTCACATTTTTTTATAATAATGAAGTAAAGAGCCTAGAAGGAATTTTCTAAGGGAAGCTCTAAAAGACAAAGTAAAACATTGTAACATTTTCTGAAGTTAAAATATCAATAGTGAAGAATACACTCAGGATATATTAAACTGAAAGACCTGAAGAAGAAGTCAGGATTGAGTTGCAGTCCGAAAGGACTTGATGGGGGAAACATTGAATTATACAGAATGCATCAAAAGAAAATAGAAGGAGTGCATGGTCATGGTATGAAAAGGAATTGGTCAACATGCAACTATTTCAAGAGGTATTAGGCCACCAAGAACCAATGGTATTGAAGGAAGAACGCCACACTGCACTAAAGGCATTAACCAAAAACAAAAGTCCAGAAATTGACAGAATGTAAATTGAAATGTTTCAACAACCATGTATCACTGGAAGAACTTACTGGTCAATGCTAATAAATAGAGAACCAACATGAAGACGGGACACCTGGTA